GAAAATGAGAGAAGACTCAGGGAGCCAGGGAGTCTTATGGGATCATGGGTTTCTCTAGACCAGGATTTCTCAACTTCAGCACTATTGACAGTGTGTGGGCTGGGTCGTTCTTTGTTTTAGGGCTGTTGTGTGCATTTGGTAGGATGTTTAGTAGTATCTCTGGCCTCAATCAGCTAGATGCCAAGCGTCCTCCACCACCCTCTTGTGACAACTAAAAATGTCTCTAGATGTGGCCATATGTTTTCTAGGGGTTCTCAACCAGGGTGATCATCCACTGCCCCCACCCCAAGGCCTTCCTGGAGGGGAAAGTTCATGGGGAAAAAGACAGGTGAGAATGGAAGGAAGGTATGTGAGAGAAGGGAAGTATGTGAGAGAAGCACTGTGCGGGGAGAAAGAGCCTTGGGTTGAGAGTCAGGAGAACTGGGCTTCTCATTCTAAGCCTCAGTGGCCATTTGCCACATGTGTGACTTTGGGCAAATTGCTTCCAGCCCCTAATCTTCAGCTGCCTTGGCTGTGGAATGGAGAGATTGGACAGTATTCCTAAGATCCTTCTAGCTCCCTACGTGGGATTGTGTTTGAAAGGGCTATGTTAATGCCCTTTGAGTGCCAGTTCAGTCATTTACTAGTCTGTAACTGTGGGCAAATCACTAAGCCTCACTGAGCTTTAAGTTCCTTCAAATTTAGAGTGGGATGATGATATCTACTGGGCCGTAGGGAGGTGTTTCAGATATCTATTACATATAACAAGTCACCCAAATGGAGAGGCTTAAAGCAGCAATACTTTATCATGCCTCAGGCTTCTGTGTGCTTACTGAGCAGTTCTACTTTACAAGATGCTGTTTGGAGGGCTAGAATGTCTGAAAGGCCAAAATCTCACATGGCTGGACTTGGTGCTGGCCACCAGCTGGGAGTTCAGCTGACGTGGTTGGCCACGGTGTATCAGTCAGGGTCCAATCAGAAAACAATAATTTGAACAGAGAAAGTTTAACATAAAGCATTATTAACCATAACAGAGATTGGCCAGTAAAAAGCAAGAACTCTAAAGACCACAGGAGCTGCAGCCATAAGGAGCAGCCCCTACCCCCAGGGCTTTTCTTCGGCATCCAGAGATGGCTATCCTGCTTTCACTAATTGTCTCCTTGAGCACATTTAGGCTCTGCCTGATGCCTGGGCCCAAAGTCAATGTCACAGATCTTGAGTTTTGTTTCAGCAGCATCTCTCTGCCAGGTACCAACTTGCCCTCCACTTATCTATTGCTATGTAACAACACATGCCCCAATTTAGTGGCTTAAAACAACAATATTTTTCATAGTTGTGTGAATTGCCTGGATAAGTCTTCTGCTTCATATCATTGACTGGGGCTCTGGCCCTGCTGAAAGGTCCAGGATGGCTTCACTTGTAAGGTTGGCATTTGGAGCTAGCTCTGGTCAAGAGTTCAGGAGTTGATGGCCGGGGCTTCTGTTCTTCCCTATGTGCTCCAATCCCTTTAGGGCCTCCTGGGCACGGAAGCTGCAGAAGGTGCTTTCCATCAGATTCTATTGGTCAAAGCAGTTATGCGGCCAGCCCAGGATCAAGGGGAGGAAAAACAGACTCCACCTTTGATATGAGCAGTGCCATGCACAGAGAGGGAGGAGCTGTTGGGGGCTCATCTCTGAAGATAGCTACCACAGGAAGATTAAATAACACAACACAAATAAGTTTGGGGTATAGTGTGGCATACAACAGATACTAAACAATTAGTGTTTATGACTGCTCTTGTTGTTATTACTATCATCATGACATCATAACAGTGCATTATTCCCAGCCTCTGAATAGCAGGGGAAGAGTGGGCTGGTAGGAAATACTGGGAGCTGAAGGTTTGGCATCCTAGCTTTTGTCAGCAGGAGTGTGTGGCCAAGCTCCTTCAGCTTTTGGAGCCTCTGGTAGTTTACCCACTTGATAAAGGCAGGTGATAGCAGCAGCCCACTGAGTGAATGAGAGCTTCAGCTGGTGTACAGAGAAGGGTGGATGTCACAGCACTGTTACTCTGGGTACTGGCACTGCCACACTGGCCCTATCTCAGGCTTGTCAGCACAGAGGGATCCACCATCCAGTTAGCTCATATTTCTCAGCAGCCAGCAGGAAGTTTCCAGAGAAGAGGCAGCTGGCTCTCTGTGAAGCATGGAAGGCCTCATGAATTGGCTCATAGCATCTACCTCTGCAAGAGGATGGGAAAAGTGCCTGGAAGGAAGGAGGAATGAGAAACACCCTCGGGTGAAGAAAGTTTTCATGGAGTGGAGTTGGAGCTGGGGTAGGAGGGGCCGTGGAGGAGGATGTAGAAATTATGTGCTCATTTTCAGCTTTTAGAGGCATTGGAGAGCAGCCCCTACTCTCCTTGGCGGCCTTCCTGACGCATCAGAGCTCCTGGATGGCCCCATGCTCCATTTCCAGCCTCATCTCTATCTCTCACATACCGTTCTCCATGTCTGGAGCACATCTCTCCTCCTGGTTAACTCCTTACTTCAGTTCACTTCTTGCTTTCAAATGTAAGCTTTGCAGGGACAAGCATCTTTAACTATTTTCTTTTCTTATAGGAACCCAAGCTTGTGTAACAATACCTGCCACACAGCAGGAGCTCAATAATGATTTGTTGTTGAAATAATGAGCTCCTGGTTTTCCTTTAGGTCTCAGCTTCAATATTATCTCCTTTAGGAAATAATCAGCTTTGCCTGCTTAACAATCCTCTGGCTGTGATTCTCTTTTTCTCCCAGCACCAAGGCTCAGGGTTCTTCATAGCCACCCTCTCCTTGGTGGAGAGGTGGCAGTGGTGGTGGAGAAGATGGGGCTCAGGGACTCAGGACCAGACTCTCCAACAATCTTTTCTAGCCCCTTGAGCTGGTTGGGTGGAAGGGAGATGAGTCACCACCAGAGGCATGGAGCCTCTGGGTTCCCCCAGGTGGCACCTCCATGACTTCCCGAGGCTGGCAGTCCTTACAGTATCCTCCTTAACCCCCGAGAAGGGAGTGTTAAACCCCAGAGCAGAAATCAGAGCCCCTTCCCAAGAAAGGCAGAACTGAAAAGGCCCCTGGAAAGTCTCTGGTCCAACCCCTTATTTGACAGGTGTTTAGGGCATCTTGAGTCAGTGTAGGGGAGAAAGGTCGGGGGCAATGAGGAACAGGAAGCTGTGACAGGCACTGAGCGATCAGTCAGAGCTAGACATACAGGGGAAGGTACATTGTATTTAAGTCTGGACTTTGTTCCGGGGACAGTGGTGACCCACTGAAAGCACAGCCTTGTGTTTGATGAAGGTCTCTTTGGCTGCTGTGAGGTGGGGCATGGAAGGGAGAAGAACAGGACTCCAGGCAAAATGGTGGTGGCTGGGTGTGCTGGCAGCAATAGGGAGAGAGGAAAGAGGGGCATGGAGAGGTATTTAGGAGGTAGAAAAAGAAGTCCTTGGGGCTTAACGAATATTGAGGGTACAGGCATGGATAAATCATAGGTTCTGGTTTGGGCAACTGTGTTGATGATCTTGGTAAGAGAGACTGGAGGAGACTCCGGTTGAGAGGGTGGGAAGCAATGAGTTAAGCTGGAAGGTGTGCTGAGTTCGAAGCATCTCTAAAACTGACAAGTGGAGTTGTCTTGTAGGAACTGGAGCTGGTGGGTCTAAGCTGAGGAGGGAGGGTAGAAGGAGAATCATCAGGGCTCTGAAGCCCAGGTGGGGGATTTTAACTAGGGAGGACATTAACTGTGGGTGGTAGCTGAAGGTGAGAGACTGATGCGACTGCCTAGGGAGAGTGCAGAGAGGTGGGAAAAGGCCCCGGGGTAGTTGGATGTTTGAGGCAAGGTGCAGGGTGAGGTGTAAGTCAGTGAGCAGAACTGCCTGGGAGGAGCTGAGAGCCTGGCCTGGGAGATAAGGAGGTGAAAGGCCCGAGGCTCAGGAATTGGGAAGTAGTAGGGAGAGAAGGCACTGGGCAGCCCCTGGAGCCTGGGTGAAGGCTAAAGGGCCCTGGGGGTGCTGGAGATTCCAGAGGGAGGAATGGAAGGGGGTGGGTCCTCCAAGGACATCCTGGTGAGACGGGTGGGAAAGGCCAGGGGCTGGGTGAAGGGGAGGAATGAAGAGGGCCAGCAAGGAAGGCAATGCACAACACTGGAGGTGGGCTGCAGCCTTGCGAGGACAGTTCCAGGCCTGATTCCTTGAGGGTGGGGTGACGGGCTTCTCAAAGTCTTCCAGTGCTTTCCAGAGCTTTCCAAGTGGAGGACAGGAGAGATTGGGCCAAGCAGCGGGCAGAGGAGCCTCTTAGCCTTGGGGTTGAAGCTGTGAGGTATCTCAGATGAGGGCAGTGAGTGGGGCAGTTGAGGGAGTGAGTAGATGGGGTCCTCATGTCAGCTGTGGAGAAGGCTGCCAGGTTCTGAGGAGGTGTGTGCATGGGGGAAGGGTGGGCCAGGGGCAGGTGCCAAGGCTCTCATCTTTCCCTGTTTGGTGGGCAGCATGAGGAGCATGTGGCAATGGCGTGGGGTCCAGACTGACAAAGGGTGGCCCCCGAGGGTGGCTCCTGGCCCTTTTGGCAGTTACTGCTATGGTACCTATGTGGTAGGATGGCTGGGTGGCAGAGTGAAGATATGCTAGGAAAAGAAAGTGGGGACTGTGTATGCAAGAAGGGGGCAAAACTCAAACACGCACACAAGCATGCATACACGTGCATACATATAAACATGCGCATGCATGTGCACTGCCTTCCAGCTGATCCTCTGGCCTCCTCGGTCACCTGCAGAGCCAATTGGAAGAGCAAAACCCTGCGCCATCCAGACTGATAGGTGTGACAGGTAGAAGGTGCTGTGAGCACAGTCGGCACTGCCTGGTCGGGAGATGACAGAACCATCTGGGGATGAGGCCCTATCGGTGTCCAGGCTGAGAACTGGCCAGAACGACTCTAGTCTTCAGGCCATATCATCAGGCTGGGGTGCTCACCAGTTGGTGGGTGTGGGTGGGCCCCAGGAAAGCAAGACATTACGGCAAGAAAGCAGGTCCCCAAGTTTATTGAAAAAGGGGAGACAAGAGGCCAGAGAGGCAGGGGGAACAGTCTCACAGTGCTCCTTCCAGGAAGGAAGGCCCTTCTCCCCGGGAGGGGCAGAAGGCTGAGACAGGGGAAGGAATGGGTCTATTCCCCAGCCGCAGGCCCCTTTCCAGTGGGATGAGAGGTAGGGAGGAGCCGCTGGTGGGAATGAGCTGATGGTGTATTCTCAGAACACAAGGGGAAAAGCCAGCGATGTGCTGCTGTTCTCAGTTGAGGGTTGGGCAGTGGCACATCTGGCAGGCAGAAGGGGCTCCCCTGGCTCTCTTTTGGGCCACTTAACACCTCCCCTGGCTGCATGAGCCCCCTCCGCAGGTGGTGTTCAGCTGGCCACAGGGCTTGCACAAGCCGGTGCTCACCACCAGGTTCCCGTTGCAGGGGGCGCTGCAGACGCTGCCTGTCACCGGCCGGGAGCCGGACACACAGAGGTCCCCGCACACAACCCCACCCCGGGAGCTGCTGACACCTGTGGGAACAAGGGCAGGGTCAAGAGACCCCTGCTGGTGGCTGTCCCATCCAGCCACCTTCCTTTGGTCTCTCTGATGTGTCGGCCATCCAGGGAAGGATGCGAGGAACCTCCAGTTCTATTCAGAAGGTGTGGAGGGAAACCTAGCCTGGGAGCCAGCAGACCGGTGTTCTGGTCCTGGTTCTGCCTTGTGACCTTGGGGAGTCCCTTCCTCTATCTGGGCCTCAGCTTTCTCACCTATACAAGGTGAAGGTTATGAGTGACATCTGAGGTCCCTTCTTGCAGTGACGTCTTATTATTTTCCCCTCCCTAACACATTGATGCTGTGAGGTTCTTTCTGCCAGCTAACCTTAGTCTCTCTCGTCGCATGACCAATCTATCCTCTTTACTGGGGGAATTATTGGAAACACTCCCCCCAAAGTCTCTGCATATACTTGTAGTCAAGAAGTCCTTTGTCCCCAGTCTACATGTTCCTTTTCAGGGTTCAGGATACTTACAGACATTCACAGCTTCAACACCTTCACACAGCCTGAGTGGGGAAAAAGTAAGGAAGGGGAACATGAAAGAAGTCAGAATGAGGTCATCGAATTTCCCCTAGGGGCCGACATGGGTCATCTCAGGGCTATTTCTGACCCACATTTATGCCCTTGTGCAACTTAGAAAAAGTTGCCTTTCTGGCAGAAGCAATGTCAGGTCACACTATTTAGCAAGCAGAGTATGGTTGGATTTCAGCTCTCACTTGTCTCTCAGCTGTCATTTGTCTTTGTGCAGTGAACAACCTGAATAACCATATTTGTCAGGTCTGGATAGGCTCAGCCTTCAGAAAGGGAAGGCCCTCTTGGGAAGACGAGGTCAGGGGTGGAGTTTGGCCAGCAACCCTGCCCTAGAATAGGTGATGTCCTAGAAACCAGACAGGGTATAGATCTCGGAAGAATTGAGAATGAGACAACTTGAAGATGTGGATCCGGGATCCATAGAGGCAAGAATGTCGCCTGGGCACTGAGGCTGAGATAGGGAAAAATCAAAGGTGGGCAGGTCTATGCAAGTGGAGTGCTTAGGGCTGGGCTGGACCCACCTCTGCTCCTCGCCCTCCAGCAGGCGCCTGTAGGTGGCGATCTCGATGTCCAGGCCCAGCTTGGAGTTCATCACCTCCTGGTACTCCCTGATCAGGCAGGCCATGTCCTGCTTGGCCTTCTGCAGGGCGCCCTCCAGCTCGGCCAGCTTGCAGCGGGCGTCACTTAGGGCCGCCTCACCCTGCTGCTCAGACTGGGCCACCGCAGCCTCCAGCTTGGAGTTCTGGGTATGGAGAGGAGAAAGTGAAGTTTAGTTTCCTGAAGTCCCAGCCAGTCTCCAATAGGATCATTCAGCTTCTATCTTAAAATACTGTCTCCCCAATCAGCTTCCTAAACCTTTCTTCCCTCCTCACTTATACCACACACACACACACACACACACACACACACACACACACACATCCCACAGAGATACTCACACACACCTTGGCCAAGACAATCAGAAATATCTCAGTAGATTCCTCATCTTACCCTGTCACCCTGAGATTGCACTGGGAAGACTTTTCCAGAATCTAATTCAAATCCCTCTGCTGAGGGCTAACTCCAGTCTCTTCCTACACTGAGGGGTGGGCCGGGTTCACATACCTGGCACTTGGCATTCTCCACCTCGGCCGTCAGCCTCTGGATCATGCGGTTTAGCTCATTGATCTCCTCCTTAGTGCGGCGCAGAGTCTCCCCGTGCCTGATCACCGTGGCCTTCATCTCCTCACACTGCAGGAAGCAGAGATGCTCATGAGGCTCAGGATGAGACATCCCATTCATTCGGGACAGCACAGACGATCGCACAGATTGTGCAGCACTCGGCCTGTGCAACCACACGTGGCAGTCCTGCCCTGCCACCCCAACCTGAGAGCTATTGGCTTTTCTGTTACCATCCTTAGGGATCGGAATCCCCAGACAAAGAAGCCTTTTCTACTAGATACCTCGCATCCCTCCCACTGCCATGTCTAGCAGGCAGGAGTCCTGTGCCGCTCACCTTGCTGCGGTACCAGGACTCAGCCTCCGCCCGGCTGCGGGTGGCAATGTCGTCGTACTGTGCCTTGATCTCAGCGACGATGCAGTCCATGTTCAGGTCCCGGCTGTTGTCCAGCTTGACAACCACGGAGGTGTCTGAGATGTGGGACTGGAGAATGCGGATCTCCTGCAGGAGGTGGGGAAAGGAAGGACAACTCACTTACCTGGGCTTCTCCTAATCCCTGGATGCCTATCATCCTTTTGACTCTTTGGGAGCAAACCTCTCATGTTTGGAGAAACAAACCTGATGAAGTCGCCTAACTTTCTGCACAAATAGGAAATCTCTTTAGAGGAAAACACAACCGTTTCTCAACTGCTTGCTTTTGGAATTATTTAGGCCCATGTGCAGCCAGCATGGTCCAGATGCTTTCCAGGGGCTCAGACCCTGTATGGGGGCCTCTTTCCCTTCTCCTAGACCAGCCCCATGAAGGAAGGCTATTGCTGCCAGAGAAAGTCCTGGGCCAGAGCAATGGGTTCAAGTCTGTCTGATGCTGTGTGGGGTCTACGCTGCAGTCCACTGGCTCAGGGGAAAGATGCAGGGCAGCTTCCCAGGGCACAGTTGTCTGGGGTGCTCACTCTCCTGCCCCTTACTAAATTTGTTCCTTTTTGGTGCTCCATCCCTTTGCCTCCCTGCTCCTTCCCTCTCCTTGCTCCCTGCCAACCCTCCAGACGTGAGCCTGGGTTCATATGTCAGCAAGCCTGGTTCATGCCTGTGGGTGTCTGGGCAGGGGGTCAGGGATCCCATGGGGGGATCTGTGCCCACCATGGCTGAGAGCCCCTCACCTCCTCGTACAGCCGCCTCAGGAAGTCAATCTCCTGGATCAGGGCCTCCACGTTGGCCTCCAGGTCTGACTTGCGGAGGTAGGCGCAGTCCACATCCTGTGTGGGGTAGAAGGGGCTGTGAGGCCGGCTCTCCTCAGAGGGCTCTGAGGACCTGGCTGCCATGTGGCAAGACAAAGAGGATGGGTGGTGGGACTCAGGGCGAGCTCAGTGCCAGCTGGGCTTCACTCACCTTCTTTAGAGCCACAAACTCGTTCTCTGCCGTGGCTCGAAGTGTGACTTCTTCTTCATACCTGAGTTGAGGAGGGAGAACAGGACCTTGTCTGAACAGCTCTTGATCTTGGCCATGAGCATGCGTGCAAAGGAGCCTCCTTCCTAGACCTCCCCCTGCTCATCTCCTGCCCCCAAGTGAAATGGGTGGGGCTCTGGAGGAACCAGGCTGCTGGCCCGGGCCTACTGGGACGAGCTGGAGAAATGAAGTACCCACTCCCCTGTTTTGTTGGAGGTTGGGAGGACAGGAATCTGGAAGCTGAGTGTGTGAATGAGTGTGGTTGGGGAGTGTGAGGTGCTATTTTTCTCACCCAGGTCTCCATCTTCTCTTCCTTCGAGCCCTCCCCTACCCTTACTCAGCAGCAGGTGGTGGGATCCTCACTCTGTCTCTCCCTTCCTGGCCTGAGCTGTGGGAGGCAGCTCAAAAGATAAGGAAGGAGGGGTATGCTGGGCCTGGGAAGTCCATGGAGAGAATGTTACTGAAGGAAGCTGGCCACCCCTCAAAACAGATTCCTTCTGAGGATCCAGTGTGTATTCTTCATATCATATATCACACTTTGTAGCTGAAGGGCTAGATTTATAACTCTGTCATGCCTGCCTTCCAGCAGACTGCAGGCTCCACTAGGACCCGCACTGTGTGGATTGAATGGCCCTGCATCACTAGCACCAGCACAATGTGCTGGCATGTGGTAGGTGATCAGATTGTGTTAGCCGAGTGAGAGAGCAAACTTAGGAAGACACATGTCTAGGACTTTGAGATCTGGTCTCAAAGGAACCAAGGAATACAAGTTTTTGTGAAAAATGGATGGAGAAAGGGAGAGAGCATTGTTTCCCTGATCTGCTGGTGGAAAGACAAGCTGAGCCTCCATCCCCCACACCCAAGGGACCCCTGTGTCTCGGTACAGGTTCTTCTCCACTCTCAGGCAGAGATGCCAGCTGCAGACTGGACAATCCTCCGGGCTCAGGGAGCTGCCACCTTGCTCTTTCCTGTGCCCAGCATCCCTCCTGCCCTCACTCACTTCTTCTTGTAGCCCTCCAGCACCTCCTGCACATGGTTGAGCTCTGAGGCCAGCCTCCCACTGTCGGCCTCCACGCACTCGGCCTCCCGCCGCAGAGTCTCGATGTAGCCCTCGAACAGGGGCTCCAGGTTGCTCTGGCAGCACTCGCGGTTCTGGAAGAACTGCAGCTTTGTCTCCAGCAGCTTGTTCTGCTGCTCCAGGAAGCGCACCTGCCACCCAGAGGCAGAACCTAAGAATCTCTTCTTGCAGCATCATAGGGCAAGAGGGGTTCCCAGCACCAGGGCCTGAAAGTCCCCAACTCTCTGACCCAGAGTCTTCCCTGGAAGGGGTTATGTCATCTCTCCCAAAAACACCACCAGGGCTTAACCAGTTCCCCACCTGGAAGCTCTTCCTGGGAGTTAATCTCGTCTAAGTCAGTTTACCTGGTGTCATGGAAAATGCTTGGAGTCCAGATTCTGCTGCCACTTGTTAACAATGTGCCCCTGGATGAAGCACTCACCCCCTCTGTAGAGTGGGGAGGTTAAAGCTCACCTTACTATGAGGATTAAAAGAACCCTTAACAGAAAGGAACCCCACACTGAACACTTACTGCTGTTCAATCACACCAAGCCAGGTGGACCTTTTTAGAAAGGTAGACTGTAGAAGTTGAAAAATAAAGCATGTGCCAATTATTCAAACCCTATAACAACAATGCAATTAGAATAATAGTTACCTGGAATATGAGAATAGGAATGTCCTATGCTCCAACTCCCTCATTTTACTGATGAGGAACTGGAGGCCAAGGAGGTTCCCAGACTGCCTGAGAGCTCACAATGGCAGAGAAGAGCTCAAACCCTGATCTTCTGCTCTGCAGGGACATCTTCTCTCACTTTGATAATTATAGGAAATTTTCACGTTCCTCTCCCAGCCACGAGGTTGGCCCATACTCCACCCAGCTTCTTTTGTCTAATAACTTGGCCACACCCTTAGTAAGTCCTGTCTTATGCTATTCTTGGTCTCTCATGCTATTAGAAATTCCAGATTTTTTTTTCCGATCCTTTCTGGTGGGCATCTCTCTAGTGTGATTTCTCTCTTGAGGTTTTGGCTCTGAAGGGCTTTTTCCAACCTCAGAACATCTTCCTAGTCAGAGCCTTTTCTCCCAGTCTCTCACATCACTGCCACAAGGTGGTTGCCTGGATTCGGTGGAGAAGGTGCCTGCAGACTCGAGTTGGACACTGACTCCACAGATGAGTTCAACCAAATCCAGACTGTGCACTGCCTGCCTCCCCCTAAAGCCCGTGAGGACGGGGACCATGTCTCTTGCTCACCCCTGGATCCTGAGCCCCAGGAGTAGTGGCTTGGACAAACTACTCTAGCCCCGGCTCAGTGGCCAAATCACTGTGTGGTATAGAAAGAGCTCTGTGCCGTCCATGAGACCCACTTCCAGACAGTCTTCCAGCACCACACTTACTAGCCCTGCCTTGTTGGAGACAGCACCTCCTTGGCATTTAAGCAGTTATTTGGCTTCAAATGCCCTGAGCACCCACAGAGTGATCCTTTGCTCACTAGGTGATATTATCACTTAGTATGAAAGGCTCTGCCTCTCGTTCTGCTTTTGTGTTTTCAGTTAATCTCCCCCATCAGTCTGGCAGCTCCTGGCCCTATTTTTGTTTTCTGTCTGTGTCCTAGAAATATGACTACCTTTCCCTTTGGCCTGGGAACTTCTGTGGGCAAGTTCTTGCTTTTGACTTCCCTGTCAGTACCCAGCCTGAGTCCTGAACATGAGTAGGGGTTCAGGAAGGGTATGATCCAGGACACCCACCTTGTCGATGAAGGCCGCGAACCTGCTGTTGAGGCACTTGATCTGCTCCTTCTCCTCCTGCTTCACGCACTGCGCGTTGGGGTCGATCTCCAGGTTGAGGGGCGTGAGGAGGCTCTCGTTGACCGACACGGTGGTGATGCATGGGGGGCTGGGTCCGCACACGCCCCCGGAGCGGTAGCCGAAGCTGCGTCCGCAGGAGCCGGCGCTGTAGCCTCCGCACACGCTGTGGCTGCCGAAGCCCCCGGTGAGGCCGCGGTAGCAGGAGATGCCACGGTAGGGGGCGGCGGTGATGCAGCAGCGGCCGGGCCGGGGCCCGCAGGCGGAGACGCAGCTGAAGTTTCCAGGGCGGAACCCACAGCCCATGGAGATGAAGCCACAGGTCATGATGGAGGTTAGGAAGTGTCTGGACAGTGGAGAAGATGGCAGAGGATGGAGCCAAGGTCCCGCGCTCCCTGGCAGATGGCAAGCCCTTTTATGTGCCGGGAGCAGCTGGCGTTAAAAGAGGGAGCACAGAGACAATAGCTGAATTTTATTGGCTTGGCATCGCCCTGGCCTCTTAAGCTAGAACCCTGCTTGCCTCTTCAGTGTGGCTGCATCAACAATCCCTGGCCACCGGCCTTGTTTCATCTTCAAAGCCCTTTACAAGCTTGCTCCTTGCTCCTGCCCCTCCCATTGGAACTGCTGTGGAGCCGCAGAGGGGCTCCTGAAAGCATCAGCTGCATTCCACCTCCAAGCTAGGGGAACGGGTGCAGTGACCGGGGTGAAGCCTGCTCCCTGAACCCTGTTCTGAAAGGGGCAGAGCTGGGCTGTGGGCCCTGGACCCACGGCCCAGCCCTGGGGTGGAATGGCCGGCCTGTCCCAAGGAGGAGGCTGCCTCCCAGACAACCTCTTGCTGTAGGCTTTCCTGTCTTTATCTCAAAGGCAGGTTCCTTTCCTCGTTGTCAAGATTGGCCTCTCCTATCCTATTCCTGCCCAGAGCCTGGGCAGGGATGGGAGTGGGGGTAGAGATTTGGGTCGGGGGAGGGCATGGTCTTTGCATTTTCGGTATTCCTAGTGCAGGGACACCATCTGGGACACGGAAGAAACTGATTCAGAGAGTTCTGGTCAGAGCCAGGCTATACTTCAGAGTTCCAGGTGTCATTGCTGATGGGATGAGGAGTGGGGAGTGTGGAATACCTCAGAGCTCCAGGGACTGAGCAGGGGAGGCTTCATGGAGGAGAGTGGGGACCTGGGCTTGAGGAGGATTGGGGTGGGGTAGTACAGGGTTGAGAGATGACCAGAAAAGAGTCCGGCTCTGATTTGCAGACTTGACTATGTGTATTCATTTATTCAGGAAATACTTATTTGGTGCCCACCAACTAGACACTAGCCACTGTGCTAGGTTCTGGAAATCCTGCAGAGACCTGGGGTGCTTGGAGGTAGCATGCATGTGGGGGAACCAATATTTGGCTAGGGGGAAAGACGAGAAGCCGTAGGTGGGGGGAAGGCCCCCACAATGTCCAGGCTGACTGATGTTCTTTAGGGTCCCAGGAGGGAAGCTCAGTGATGGGGTCTTGAGGTGTATGTTATCACCAGGAAGGAGGGAAGCTGCGGGAGGTGAGGGATGTCAGCAGGGTCCTTAAATGAGATCACTGTCTCACCTCAGAGAATGTATTGGGTGAGAGAAGGGTGCTAGCTCATGCAGCTGTTCCCAAAGCCAAGCTCTCTTACTTTGGGCCCTTGTTCCTTTGGGTGAGGATAGGCAATGGCTTTGATGGATGGAGAGTGGGACCAAGCCAGAAGGTTTACCTTAACCCAAAGACCTGAGCCCATCAACACTTCCAAACACACATCTCTGGACTGCTTTTGTCAGGAGAGGATGAGGAGGACTCCACTGATGGACCTGTGTCCTGACCCAGCCACAATCCAACACTGACCCAGTCTGGGCTAGTAGTAACCCTCCTGGGACTCTCATCTTTTGCCCTTCCCACTCCCACTCAGGGTGAGTGGGCCAGTTATATCCTAGAGTGGAGATCTGGGAAGAGGGGCCCATATTCTGTGGGCCTGAGGGAGGACAGGTGATGGTGCTGTTGAAGTCTCTTCGGGAGCTGGACATCTGCCATGGATCCAAAAAAAGGACTCTCCTAGCCCCTCCTCTTGGGTCCTGTGGACAGCCTTCCAGAGTCTTGTGTCTGGAGTGGGAACTCTGGGTCTGTGGGCTGTGTGATAGGGGATCCTGGTATGAAAGACACACCAGGGGAGCACACCCTGGGGGTACCTGGGGGCCTGGAGGTGGCTGATTGCAACTGAGTGGCTAGAGGGATTTTGGGGGCATCTTTGAGGGAGCCTGGGCTGGCTGGTGCTGTCATGTTCAGTCTTGGTTGGGTCAAACACATGCTAGACAGCCAAGAAAGACCAGGCTCTTCACCCGCTCTGGAACCAGTGAGCACCTGGAATGCTCTCTACACATATCCAGTGATTATGGGGGATTGTTTCTTGGTGAAATGCTGAGGACTGCAGGTCAGTGAACCCTCTGTGAAGCATTTCCCCATCACCATGCTGGAAACTGCGCTGCTGTCTTCTGACCTGGCTCATCTGTCTCAATCCAGCAAGCTTGGATCGTGTTGGACCCCTCCACCGAGGGGCTCTGTATAGACACATGACCTCCTTGGGGTGGGGGAGCCATGACCATGCCCACCCCTGCCCTGATTGGAGCTGAAGATAGCATGGACCCTGGAGATAAAAAGACCACATTTCGAAGCCCAACTATGTCTCTTACTAGCTTTGTGCCATGGCACAGGCATTTTCCCCCGGGTCCTTACTTGTGAAATATAAATGGCAATCCACAGCTTGCTGGGGGTTGGGAGGACTGAGCGAGTGCCTGGTGGTGGGAAGCGCCACCCCCACCTCACTTTGTGCTAGCAGGGTGACTGGGTCTTGGTTGCAGGCACCTGGCAGGGCCTTGCAAAGGGACAGTGTACACAGCTAGTGAGATGCAGAGTACCATTCCTGGGTAAGCAGAAAACAGTTTTACAAGGCAATCATTGCCACCTCAGAAAGCCTTAATTAGAGCATCTATTTGTAAACGGCTCAGAACAAAGGGAACTGCAGACCAGGAGTCCCTTGAAAACAGACTTAGACAGGAAACTGACAAAGAGACAGCAACACCCAAATCCCCAGGCTGCCTCCTCCCTCCTGGGCTCCAGGCTGTGATTGGTTCCTGCCCTAACCATGGGCCCATAAAGGGTCCGGCAAAGCCACAGGCTGTTTCAATCACCAGGACCTGGACTCTGTGCATGCCCTTCACACCTGGCCTGGGTTGGCCTGCAGGAACGACCGCTTGCCCTGTTGATCTGGTCCTCAGATTCCCGCCTGCATCTCTTGGGGTGCAACCCCCTGGCCTTATTCCTGTGTGTTTTTCTGGTGGCTGCCTGCCTGTCTGCTAGGTTTCTGATACCCTGGTGCTCTGACTTTTGTCACTTCTTTCTTGCCTTAATATCCATGTTCCTTCACATTTTTTGTCCCTTCTTAATGGGTTTTTGATAAACAACTCTGAGATGAACATTAATAAACACATCTTTGGGCACATGTCTAGTAATTTCCTTAAAACAAATTCCTGGAGGTGAAATCGTTGAGTCAAAGGGGACTGTTCTGGTCTTCTCCAGGTGTGCCTGGCCACAGGTTGCTGACCTGGCTGTGGAAGTGACGTTTCCATGGGAAGCCTGCTGCAGTGAAGTCGTTAGATCTGGGAGTCCTGGAAATGTGGCAGCAGCTCTCATTTCAGTCACGATGTGTGTGTGACACGTTAGCTAATCTCTGTAAACCTTGTGTCTTCATCTGAAAAATGAGGATTCTAATACTGGCCTTTTGGACCTTTGTGAAGATGACCTGGGGAGGGGGGTGCATGTGAAGCCTGTGGAAGGTGTGCAATCCAGGAGGGCAGAAGTTGCATGCGGCTTCCTGGTCCAGGCAGGAAGAATTCTTTGATACCTCCAGTTTTGCCTTTTGGCCTTGAACTCACAACACACCTCCAGATCTGATAAGATATGGCACCTTCACATACTCACTACTATTTACTAAGCAAGTTCTCTGTACTGAAGAGGAAGGAGAGGGATTTAATACACGGCCCCTGTCCAAGGATCCAACAGTGTAGTTGGGCAGATTTGTAAGTGTGCACAAGTTGTATTCTGGATGAAGCAGTTCTTCAAGTCTCCTCTTCCTCGTGGGAGCTTGCTTTGGTCTGGAGCAGTCAGAGGCTTTGTAGGAAAAGTCAGACTTGAGCTGGGATTTGAAGGATAGAGGGGTTTGGAAAGGTCAGAAGGGTGGAGGCAATGCCAGGAGTGAATTGAAGAAGAGCACAGACGTGTTCACAGGGCGGTGGATACCGCGGTTGAAGCTTACAGGATGTCACACCTAAAGGATGAACTTGAGGCACATACCAGTGAAGACTGAGAGCAAGACAAAGGCGTCCATTCTTGAGGCCATGCTGTAAAGTACTAGAATTCCTGGCCAAGAAAAGAAATGTGTGTAAGAATTGGAAGAGAAGAGATAGAACTGGCATTATTTTCAGACAATGGGATCAGTTGTGTAGAAAACCCAACACAGTCAACAAATACAGGGTAGAAGTAACAGGAAAAGTTGAGCTGTGCTGCTAGTTATAAAGTCAACTTGCAAAAATCAAAAGTGCTTTTCTTTATCAGTGACAGCTAATCAGAAAATATATAGAAAATATGGCTGGGCACAATGGCTCACCCCTGTAATCCCAGCATGTTGGGAGGCCGAGGTGTGCAGATCACTTGAGGTCAGCAGTTCAGGACAAGCCTGGCCAACATGGTGAAACCCTGTCTCTACTGAAAATACAAAAAAAAAATTAGCTGGGCACATTTGTAGTTCCAGCAACTCGGGAGGCTGAGGCAGGAGAATTGCTTGAACCTGGGAGGCGGAGGTTGCAGTGAGCCGAGATTGTGCCACTGTACTCCAGCCTGGGTGACAAGATTGAAACTCCATCTCAAAAAAGATACCATTCCTAAGAGAGATTAAAAACAATAAAGTATTACATAACTTTATAAAGTATGCACAAGATCTCTAGGAGAACAATATAAAACTCTATAATAATAATAATAAAACCAAGAAAATCTGATTAAATGGAATTACACTATATTCAGGAATACTTTGACCTAGCATTCTAAAGTTATAAATTGCCCCTAAGTTAGTTGGCAAATTCAATGCAAACCCAACAAAAATTCCAGCTGGATTTATTTTGAGGAACTTGATAAAATTAATTTTTTTCTGAAAGAGTAAAGTTTATTTATAGCAAAGCCAGTTATGAAAAAGGAAAGCAAAGAGGAGTCTGAGGACTCGAGATAAAATAGTAATAATAAAGTGTGCAGCAATATGCCAATAGACTAATGGAGCAGCACAGACACTCACAACAGGCCTCTTCCCATCAGTGAAGCTTGGTATTTAATGAGGGTTGCAACAAGCAAAGGGCCATTTATTCAGTCAGTGAGATTTGTAAAAAAATAGACACACCATATGGAAAGCATAGAGCTGGAGTCTAGTTCATACCATGTCCCATGGGAAGCCTCGGATGAATTAAAGGCCAGGACAGATAAAGCTA